TTGCTAGACATCTTAGTAACCTTAAGTCCTTCAGGAAAGGAGATAAATCGTTGCTTAAGGATTAGGCAGAGCCAGGAATCAAACTGATCGGGTTTTGACCCAGAGTCTTGTCACACCACTTCTCTAGGCTGGTCTCCACATTGGTAAAATGTGAGCAGGAGGATCTCTGTGGTCCCTTTTTAAAGGCAGCTTTTAAAAATGGAGTGTTTAGCTACATCCTTTATCACTGGGAAAAAATGTTTTCTTTTTAAGTAGGTAGTTATGAGGTAACACTAGAACAATTAAGTTGCCATGGACAGTAGTCTCATGAGCATTTAATTTTCTTCTTAGGTGTCATTAGAAGGCAGGAAAATATGTTTCCCCCACCGCCCTCCACAAATTACATGCCTACTCAGTTTATGAGAATTTCATTCTCCAAGTAAGGTTTCCTCCTTTTAAGAATTTAAGGGGATTGGCTCATTATATTGCTAATGTAACATGCTTAAAAAAAAAAAATCAGTAAATTCGTTGGTTTTCAGTTCAAATTAAGCCCCATTTGGCACATTTGTTCCCCTCAGTATCTATCACAGCCTTGTGCACGTGGCTGGCTCAGGCTGCTATGACTATTAAATACCAGAGACTGGATGACTTAGCAACAGATATTTACTTCTCACAGTTCTGGAGGCTGGGATGTCCAAGGTCAAGGTGCCAGCATATTTGGTTCTTGGAGAGGACCCATTTCCTGGTTGTTGACAGCCTCCTCCTCAGTGTGTGCTCACCTGGCCTTTCCACATGCCATCCATGCAGAAAAAAGGAAAGTGAGAAATCTGTCTTCCTCTTCTTACAAAGACACTAATCCCATCTTATGGGTCCCACCTCCAAATACCATGACACCTGGGGCTAGGGCTTCAAATTAGGAACTTTCGAGGACACAACCATTTGAGCCCATAACATGCACAATGTAGGTATCAAAATGTTTACAGAACAAAAATGGTAGAAAAATTTTTATTTCAGCCAATTCACTGAGTATCTACTATTGGCCAAGCACATACAGTTTGCAAATTACTGGGTCCCACCTTCAGGGATTCAGTAGGTCTGGAATGAGATACAGAAAGCTGTATTTTTTAGGAAGGGTTTCCAGGGGCTCCTGGCTGGTTCAGTCAGAAGAGCATGCAACTCTTGATCTCAGGGTCGTGAGTCTGAGCCCCAGGGTGGATATAGATTACTTAAATAAATGAATAAAAAATAAAAAGCTTTCCAAATGAGGCTAATGAACAGCCAGGTTTGAGAACCATTGGTATAGGCATTGTGGCCTATTTGGGGAACTCAAAGTTTGCCATTAGTAGACAGGCAGTAGTTAAATTGCAGTTCCACCAAATGAAAACATAGCTAAATGCTACAAATTGGATTTTAAATTAAAAGCACAAATCGGCTCCCTTTGCATTCCGTGTTTCCCATATATCTATCTCCCATGTTTTCCCACAGAGGAGGAGGATGAGCTCTTTGATGATCCTTTGCCGTTACCGTTAAGGCACAAGGCTCCATACCAGCTAGCGCTTCACCCTGAGGTATTTGTAATGACCGCAACACCACAGAACCAGCCTGAACAACAGAGGCCAAGCACAGGCTACCTCAGAGCAGAGAGTGTGCAAACCTTTCCTTGGGCCAACTTTATAGATTGTGAAGAATCTAACAGCGAAAGTGAAGAAGAATTACAAACCCCAGCTTCATCGCAAGAAGACCTGGGTGCCGTCACACACCACCAGCAAAGGGCTGATGTAGAAGTACCACAGTGGGAAGTATTCTTTAAAAGAAATGATGAAATCACAGATGACGGTTTGGAAAACCCCCCTTCTTCCACAGAGGCAGGGGGCTCTCAGTCACCGAAGCTTTTTAGTGACTCTGATGGGGAATCAACTCACATCTCTTCCCAGAATTCTTCTCAGTCAACACACATATCTGAACAAGGGAGTCAAGGCTGGGACAGCCAATCTGATACTGTTTTGTTAACAACCCAAGAGAGAAAGAGTGGGGATATTACCTCCTTAAACAAAGGTAGCTACAGACCAAGAATTAAAGAGAATATTCCTGCCACTCAGATGGAACAAAATACACTTTGTCCAAAGGATACTTACTCTGACTTGAAACAGAGAGATCAAAATGTAAAGATAGTTCCCAGTGTTGGAGAACCAACCGCTCTAAGCAGTTACAAACACGTACCTCAGGAGAAAAGGCTGCTAAATCTTAGCACCAATGCAGATTCCCAGAGCTCCTCAGATTTTGAAATTCCCTCAACACCAGAAGCTGAGCTACCTAAAGGAGAGCATTTACAGTATTTATATGAGAAGCTGGCAACCGGTGAGAATATAGTCATTGAAGAAAGAAAAAGCTCACTCTTAGATACTTAAAAACCTTATGTTCTAGAGCAACCACTAAAAACCCTACACAAAAAACCCTACACAAAGAGGTAAGAGTCCAAATCATAACAGACACATCAGAGTGGAGTACTTAAAAATGGTCCTGTAACCTAAAACAGGGCAGTAAAGGGGAAGCAGAGAACAAAAAATAGTGATAAACAGAAAAGATATGGTAGGACTAATTCCAGACATCAATAATTACAAATTAAGTGAAAATGGTCAAAACACACCAATGAAAACATAGAGACTGCATCTAGGAGGGATGTTTTTTCACTAAGAAACTCACTGTGAATGATGCAGGTAGGTTAAAAGTAAAGGATGGGAAAAGATATCTAAATACTACTTAAAAGTAAGCTGGAATGACTATATTAATATCACACAAATTTCTAATGATAAAAGGTCCAGTTCACTAAGAAGACACAATGTTAAATGTGTATGTACCTAAAAACATCTTCAAAATATACAAAGCAAAAACCAAGGAGAAAGACAAACTAATGCACAATTCTGGCTGGAGACTCTACCATTCTTCTATTAGTAATAGAATTAGCGTACAGAAAGTGAGCAAGAATATAGAAGAACTGAATAGCACCATTGACCAACTGGATCTAATTGACACAGAACACTCCACCCAACAACAGAAGTGCCCATGGCACATTGACCACGATAGACGACCATATTCTGTAGGGTCATAAAAACACTTCAAAAAATCAGGCACTTACAGATCTCAAAAGATACACCACTTAAGAATGCTGGTGTGAATGACAAATTTAAAAGCAGAAAAATTAGGACCTAAAAGAAAATAATTAAATGGCAAAAGCATAAGTGTGTTCTGTGAGTTGTTTGATTTCCTTCAAGTCTGTCAGTGGGTTATGTTTTTGCAGAGTTATGTGTTTAACAAAGTTCTGTTAACAAATATTCTTCAACACTTTGAGGTATGCTGGCATTTTACAGATTAAGGAAGCAAAAGGAGAGATTTCACTTAAAACGAGTTTAAGTGGGGGAAAAAAAAAAGTTTAAGTGGAGTCAAACAATTTGCAGATCAATTAAACTAAATGATACACATTATCACCATGCCGCACTGATTGATCCCTTTTTTCTAGCTCAGGAGCTACTCCCAGCTTTTGATGAAATACATTCCACAGACTCAGTATGACTAGGGTAAAAATACATTCATCCCATTTTACCGCTCTCTCCTATGAGTACCATTACCTAAATGCAAAGTGAATATAAAACCACTAAAGAGACCAGTAGGGATTGCAGATCATTGGTTGAATATCAAGTCATAACTACAACAGGCCTAATACAAGAACCCAGAGACTTCATTTTTTATTTATAGCTCTAAAAATTAGTTACATTTCATTATTACAAATCATATAATCAAATGTAACTATATATTCAATGACACCAAAGACCTCATCTTAACAGTCTAGCTTATAACCCAGAGTGGGGATTCAAAACGTGCCTGGAAACATTCTTCTGAAATTTTTAGCACTTTATAATCACACTGTCAATTTAATATTACATCCTGCCGTATTCTCATTGTTTTATAAGTGAACCTAGCATAATAAATGCCAGCTGAATGAATTTAAGCGCCAGGAGCACTAGAACTTAAAAAAAACAAAACCGAACACAAAACAACTTGTAGTGATCACCAAAGATTTTAAAGTACAGGCTTACAGTACAGAATAATTGTAGCAAATACTTACATATGGTGCTTACTCTGTGATGCTTCATTCTTTTACACACTGGATATCAACTCCTTTATTCCTCACCACCACCCTTTGAGGTAGATAAATTTATTCTCCCCATTCACAAATGAGGAAGCTAAGGCACAGAGAGGTAGTTCACATAGCTGGGAAGGGATGAAGCTGGGACTGAAAACGCAGGCAATTCAAGCTCAGCGTCCATGGTCTTAGCCACTATGTAATAATGCCTCTGAAAAAGAGCACAGCCCTGTGCAGGATTAATTCTAGTGGCTACTTGATTTTTACTTTAAGAACTGTAAAGTAGAAAAGAAAAAGTGAAAAAAAGTTTCAAAATGCCAAGATAATCATAGAAACAGCCCCGTGACTAGCCACATTTGCCTTAGAGAGGAATCCAAGAGTTACATGTTTAAACTAACAGTACAAAATTGAGGACATTATAGTCAGGTAGTTCACTGGCTCCGAGCTGGTGATCTTGGGTGTATTAATGTTACCTAACCAGTATAGGATTGAGAGTGCCAGCCTCATGGGTTTATGAGGAGCACATAGAAAGGGCCTAATAGCTTGCTCAAAGAATAGGAGCTTTCCATCTAAAATTCCCTTACAGTTCCAGGCAGTTTTTATTTAGCACAATGTGTTCAAGTAACCTGGTGACTAATAATGCTCAAGACGTTTTACAAGTATCCATCCATATTCACTTTATGCTATGTAAAATTCTACTTTAATATTCAAATGGATCAACCATGACAATGATAAACTTCTTTGAAGGAATGGTATAAAAACCTTCGGTTAATCGCAGAAGCAAGTAGTCCAGAATGCATGGGTGTTTTTTTGACCCTTTTGTAAGCCTTACTGGAAATGACGTAAAATATTCAGAAACAAAGCTAAGCCACGATAAATAGAAAATCAAATGCCAAACTAAATTTATTTTGCTAAAGAAAAATGAACTGTAAGAAAAATGCAGTTTAGATTTTGCACAGAGGGGGAAAAGACCCTGAGATTACCAACTGTGTATCACGATCCTCATGTAGGTACTGAAAACAATGATACTAATACAACTTGCACAGTGGATTTACAGTTTAAACTCGATCTAAATATTACCCTTGAATATTGGCTATATTTATACTGAGAGAACAAATTCTGATAACTTGGGAAACTAAAGCAGCTAAATGCTGACTTAAAGGCTTTTAACAGCTTCATGTACGGAGTTCCTATTTTACTGATTAAGTCCAGCTTTTTAATAAAATAAGGATAACAAAGGTAATTAAAATCTCAAAGACCCATTAAATTTCTAGTAATAAGGACAAAATTAAACAAGTTTACTGAAAATAGCCACTTTCCCTTTGCCCTCCTGTTTCACATTTTTTTTTTTAACACAAGAAGTAGACAAGAATAACTGGACAGTAAAACACTGACTTTTTAAGAATATTAAAATTACATATTTAAACCTGTAAAAATTATAATTCAAAGTAAGCTTGGCCATTGGAGCACCTGTAAATCTGTGATGCTTTCTCACCACTGACACCATGTGACTATTCTGTCATAAAGAAAACATAAGAAATGGCACCAAAAAATGTATTTTTCCTTGACACCTTCTGCAGATTTTGGTTAATACACTGAGACTCCAAACATGTAAAGAATTTACCCTGTATTATGAAAGAGCAAAGTCATGTGGTAGCAATATAATGCATAATAAAGTGTAGCTTCTCCCAAAAAAGAGGTTAAAGATTAAGAAGACATTTGAAGTGCTGCATTCTTGAAGTCAGTTCAATTTTACCCAAACTTATTTTAGGTCATTAAAGCAATGGGGCAATGAACTTAGGTACAATTTAATTAGTAATACTGAAAGCCAGATTTACTTGCTGCATTTACCTTCATGTTGGACACCATGATTACAAATGCCACAATGACAGAGATGAAAACACGTTTTTTTCCTGATTGAGGTTTTACTATGCAGGAAAACAAAAACCAAGGAATATATTCCATTTCAGTCTTCATGGTTTAAGTAAAAAAAGTTCTCATTATTCAGGTACACACTTTGGCCAAGCCAAGTTTAGCTTTATCACATTTAAAAAATTCATGTATAAAAAATAAGTATCAGTTCAAAATATAGATTATTTTAAGAGCCTGCAGGAAATAGAAAAATAATTAAATTTGGTGGAAATGTTAAAACTGCCTGAAATTCAGAAATGTAATATTAATGTATTGTATGAAACATTATTGTTAGGTGCAACTGCACTCAGGGATAGCTTGTTTTGCTGTTTATGTTTAGACCAGAGGAACTCAACATGGATCTCTTAATTCATGTTACTAAGAGGGGCCCTTCAAGTGCTCCCTTCCCTCTGCCCAGCACTCCAAAAACCCTTTTGTGGTCCCACTGCCCCAGCCTTTCGAAGCAGCATAATGGCCAGCCATTCTAGAATTGTAGAACTTTTTGGAAACTATTCTTTTAAGGGAATAAAAGTCTTTAAGAATTACTGGTTCAGACATACATGCCTCATAACAGTCAAGATTGCTTCAAAATATGAATTAAGCTGTAAATTTTTTATATTTAATTTTAAACCTTAAATTTATGTATCAGTAAGACCCAATATTTTAATGAAAGTAGGAAAATAGTATATAGTATCATCTGTCTCAAATACAAGTACAGTGAGTAATAATGGGAATGACAACATAACAGAATAGCACTTGTATATATTTGCCCTAACTGAATTAACTTTCTCTAAATTCAAGGTGTACGCAGGTTGAATATTTGATCTTAGTGACTGTTACGCTATCAGTTCAATGCTTAAACACTGAAGGAGGCATTTCTTTATTCACACAGACTTTTTATGTATGTATATGCTCATCTGTAAATAGTTTTCATGTTTGGTACCTAATTACTAAATATGTATTTCAAATTAGTCTATGTGACCCGGTGTTCTTCTCTTCAGAAGCATCAGTAATACATTTGGCCAATAGTTTGAAATATGAACTGTAAATTAACATAGCATATAATCTTGATAATATGAAAAGAGTCCCAAATACTTTTTTGAAATGTTAACATTAGAAAAAAAACAAAACTACAATCATCAGCTCTATTTCCTGAAAATTCAGTTGAGGTAACCTCTGCAAGTCACAGCTCCACACTTGCACACAGTTCTGACCCTCTTTTTGGCTGGGCTGTGGTCAACAGAATCTGAAGATATATCTCCAGAACCTGATTACAGAGAAAAAGAAATACAGAAGTAAGAATTAAGACAATTCAGGAGGAAGTTCAAATTTTCTATCAGTTTTAAGTAAATGTAAATATTCAGAGACAAATCATTATGAATTATCTTGAAAGGATTGTGTGGGCTAGTAAGAGATAAAAGCTTATGCTATTAGCCCATACTTAATAGCTTTCGGAAATGATGGAACTTAACTGGGAAAATCCGATACACAATCATTCAGTTTCATACATTACTTAAGGGCCATAAAGCAAGGCCAAATAGTAACATCCTGTAATTAATACTTAGAAAAAACAAAGAAAAAAAATATTGTCACAATAAAGCAAATAAAAGTACCATTAAAAAAAAAAAAAAAAGCCAAATCCAAGTAGGAATGGAGTAAGTTCACTTGTGATTTAAGTCGTATTTTCAATCTCTTAGTAAATATTCAGAAATGTATGCCTTACAATTTTAAAATACAAGTAATATTGAGAAAAGATGTATATGATAAGCTTTCATAATGGAAATTATGAAAAAAGCAGGTGGCAACGTGATACAGAGAAAAGAGCATTACTCAGCTCAAGGTCAGGCAGACCTGGATTCTAGTTTTACCTCTGTCAGATTAGCTTTGTGACCTTGAGTAAAATGACAAACTCTTATAGCCTCATTTTTTCTCTTCTTTAATATTTGCTTGGTTCGGATCTTTTGGTTCAGGTCTTTTTCTACTCTGATTCTTCATATTGAAACAACTGAACACCAATCAAACTGTACTTGAAAACCATACCTTTCATTTGATAGTCAAAGGTGAGCTCTTCTCCAGCATTTATGGTTCTTGTGGAAAATAATGCTATTCGGGGAAGACGGGTGTCAAGGTTGTCAATGAAAACATTGAACACCTGAAGATTTGGGTCACACTAAGAAGGAACATTAGAACCCATTTAAGTAAAAATGACATGAACAGGCTCTTCTACATTCCATATAAAATAATTTCTCGACTATTATTTTTTAAGTTCTATGAGAAATTACACTGTTGATTGTTTAGTGGTCTTTGAGGCACGCAAATTAAAAAATACTGTTTTCACTTATAGAAAATCTCAGACCTACACAACACTAGCGAAAATAATAAATCCACATATATTCACCCTGCAGCTTTAACAATTATTGACATTTTTACCAATTCTGTTTCATCTAGTCTCAACCTTTTAACTTTTCTGAGGACTTGTCATGCAAACCCTAGATAACATTATCATTTCACCTGTATGTAGTTCATTTCAGTTAGTAACGTGATACAGAGAAAAGTAAGTAACGTGAAATAGAATATAACTATTTAAAAAATCAAGTCAGCATTATACAACTCAAATTTTATACTGCATGGAGTTTCACTGCTTTAACCTCTGTTTGGAATTGTTTAATATTTTGAGAATTCTACATTAAATTCTGGACAATGCAAGAAGAAACATCTAGTGAATCATCCTAAGAAATCAAAATAAGTGTTTAATTGTCCTTGTATAGAATACATCTGTTTTGAGAGTATCTCAAATTTATCATTAAGAAAAAAAATTTTTTAAAAATTAAAAAGAAAAAAACTAAAAATAAAACTCACAGCAAATGAGTCAGAAGGTTTCTGACATTTCACTACCAAACATAAACTAGTTTCTTGGTATAAAATCCATCATAACTTTAGCATGGCCTACTTTCTTATATGGGCAGTTACATAACTTACCCTTATCTGTTGGCACTTAGTAGGTACCCAGTAACTATTCAACTCCCTTATTTTTAGAAATAGTTTATAGAGTATAAAATTCTACAATCAGGGTTCCAGCTGTATTCTAAGTTCTTTTCAAACATGAATTAAAAATTAGAAAATTAGGCTTAGGCTTAGAAAAATAGCCCTAAATACTTACTCTACAAATTCTTATATTTTATAAATATGTTAACAAGTTACATGTTAACTTCTACAGTTGCATGTGATTCCTAACCCTTCTACCTCTTAATTCCTCCGCTAACTTTGTCCTCTACATTAACACAAAACCTAACTTACAAAGTTTTGGGATGATTAAATAAAGTAACATACATAAAAACTCTTGCAAAATGCATGGTATTTGGTAGGCACCTCAATGAATTTTCCTAATACGGCAGTAATACCATAACCTAACCAAAGAGGTCTTTGTGTTATACTTTGGAAATATTAAAAGGGTAAGTAATTTAAAGATAATTATTTCTCAACTATGGAAAATCATTAAAAACAGTGCTAAGTTGATTAGTCCTGTCTATTTAAGTATCACTTACACTGTGATTCACAAAATGAGAGACATTTCCATATCGGGCTGCATCCACAGTGAATTCATCAGATTCATAATCCAGATCAAAGAGATATGTGATTCCCTTGTTGTCATATAACTGCCCCCGTCTTTCAGCTTCTTCACTTGTGATTACCTAAAAAGAAAAAACTACAGTATATTATATAGCTATTGTTGAACTGAAGAAACACACTCATCCATAAATTAACATACTAATGTCTACAAAGTATTATGCTAAGCGAAATAAGTCAATCAGAGAAAGACAATTATATGACCTTACCTATATGTGGAATTTAAGAAACAAAACAGAGGATCATAGGGGAAGAGAGGAAAAAATAAAACAAGGTGAAACCAGAGAGGGAGACAAACCATAAGAGACTCTTAATCATAGGAAACAAACAGGGTTGCTGAAGGGGAGAGGGGCAGAGGGATGAGGTAACTGGGTGATGGGCATTAAGGAGGGCATGTGATGTAATGAGCACTGGGTATTATATAAGACTGATGAATCACAGACCTGCACCTCTGAAACTAGTAATAAATTATATGTTAATTAAAAAAAAAAGTAAAGATACTCTAAAAGCTTATTTTTCCTGTAATTTGTGCAGTTACAAATGGAAATCTGTTACAAATACAGGAAAGGCGGCATGCTAAATTTGCAGTCAATTGTATGGAAAGTTTAGTTTCATAGAGTAGGCATAATATTCTCTAGTTCCATACACATTGTTGCAAATGAGTATCTTGTAAATTTAGTCCTTACATTCCGTTATGTCCTACAGAAAGCTATAATTGGGTAGCTTTTTGAACATCTGAATAAATTGGAATGAAAGTAGTACTGTCTCAATTTGTTAACTGTGGGTTGTCCTAATTCCTGTCTTAAACAGCCTTGATTCTTTTGCAGCCATTTCTGCCCTTAGTTTTCCACATCTTTCCAGCCAGCTCTTCTAGAGTAGTTTGTGTGAATATTTGTTTTGATGACACTCTTGTTTTCATGAAATTCTGTAGCTCAAAACCATCATCTACAGTTCTGTTCTAAGAACACAGCTTTACCAGATGCTCAGTTTAGGAAACCAAAAATGTCTAAACTGATTCATGGTGTCAACCAGATTTAACTACGGCATTCAGTAAGCCAAAACAGAGAGGAATTTGATTATACAAGATCTGGTATCCTGAACAGTGATTTACAATAATCTGCCATTGTCTAAAAATTGAAGGATCGAAGTAGGGTTCCAATTTAATCTCAGAATTCTAGATGAATACAGATAATTATACATGACTTAGTTCCACATAACCTTTAAAATGTCAGATGTGACAACCTGAGATATGCAGTCACACTTGTATTTTCTAGTCACAGCTTAGTCCTTCACTCAGTTTGAGGAAGTGTAGTGCAGCGGCAAAGTGCACTCATCTTGGAGCCTTGGTTTTGAATCCTGGCTCCTCTTCACTACAATGTGACCTTGTGCAGGTTGCTGAACTTCTCTGTGCCTGTTTCCTCATCTATAATAATGGAGACAACACTACTAACTCAGAGTTATTGAGAGTATTAAGGAGTTAAAATGTCAGGTGCTTAGAATAGTATGTGGTACATGCAAATACTATTTTTTGTATATTTACATTATACATATAAAAATAAATTTGCTCAGTCTGGTAATTTAGAGAATAGTCTCCAGCTGAGCTACAAAGAATTTGGATTTTCTGGTGGATTCAATAAATGCTTTTAAGGTTATTTTACAACACTTCCTAAGAAAGCATTTTTCTACCTTACAGTATCTCTCATGTTGATACGATACTGAGTTTTGCCAACTACACTTAACCATGTTTAGTCAAGCCGATGAATTATAATCTAAAAGTTTTCAAAGTCAGCAGGTGTTTAGATCTGATTTTCTTCTTAGGGCTTTTATGTAAAAAACAGTCGCCATATTTTACAAATGCCAGTTTCAATGACTATGAATGGGTGTTTCTGAAAGAGGACTATTTTGTTTGTCATTATAGATATATTTTTGTTCATATACAAGTTTGTATTTCTAACTATGCCAGTGAATCCTTCTCTCACTTGCAAATGGTAATATAAAAATGTACCAATATTTGTTACTGATGTAAAAAAAGCATAAACCTTCCACACCCATTGTTAAAGTTGAACATACCTCTCCAACATATTCCATGACAAAACTCATTCTTTTAATCTTCACAAGGGTTTTTACACCCCAGCCACAGCCATTGCTAGTTCGAAAGATGCAAAGAGAATACTGGGTGCCTTTTTGTACAATCCTATTGGGACAATCGGGTCCACATTGACACCTTGAGTTGCATTCATAAATGGGGGTACCAGGTGGGATTTTAATTTGCTGGTTTTTATTATAAGCCAAAAGAACTCCAGCTTCAGCAGGACAACATTTCTCAAAGAAGCAGTCTGTACATGAACAACCAAAGGTAGCTTCATTGACTAAGCTGATTCCAGGAGCTGGTTTGTATTCATTAATGTAGTAGAAGTCTGAAGGTGGGCCCTCTAAGTCAACAGTATTTTCAACAAAAATCATTCCTTTATGATTCTTTCTTCTGTTGAGTTCATCTTGCCATCTCTGCAGAGCTACCCTTTGTTTGGCCTTCTTTACAATATATTCGGCAACGGCAGGTTTCAAAGCTTTGTTATTGTCTTTTAGAGATATTGCTTTGCCTTTGTTTACCTGAGATAAATAATTATGCTTGTCATTAGAGAACTGTTGAAGTAGTAACGGGCACTTGAGATTTTGCAAAGGTTCCCAAGTATTTGTAGAATCTGGCCATCCTTTCCATTTTACAAGATAATACTCCATATCCTTAAAATATAAAAGAAAATTGAAATCAGATTATGACAGTCCTAATTACTTAAAATAATTTAATATCTTAAAGAGTAAGGTAGCCATTATCATTCTTCTTAATAAAGTTCAGAATATATTGAGTCAGAGGTTTCTAGTGGATGCAATACAAAACATAAAACTTTTTTCTTTATATTACATAAATTAGGTACAGAATTTAGTTGTGGCATAGTATGTTTGAGCACAGTAAAAGAATTGCACGTGAATATAAGAGTACTGAAATTCATGAATATCTTACCAAGCAGTAATTATTAAACAAAGTCGTATTTCGTATTTATCTTGATCATGGAAACAGGTAGTCTCAAAACTAACAATTTATGACCTACGTTAGTGCTTCACTTGGCCAGCACAGATGTAGGTGTCCTCTAAGGCAGGTAATTTTAATATTTTACACTGGATATAAGGCAAGTTCTATTTCTCAATATCATGGGCACACATCCCTTAGATGTTCCAGAGACACTATGTCCAATACAGTCATTCCTAGCAGCATGTAGCTTATCAAGCACCTGAAATGTGACTAGTCCAAATTGAGATGTGCTGAATTACAAACACTAAACACACAAAAAAGTAAAATATTTTTTAACATTTGAAAAATATTGATTACATACTGAAATATTTTGCTTTTATTGGATTAAATGTATTATTACTTTTTAAAGATTTGTTTAAAGTCCTCTCTATGCCCAACGTGGGGCTCAAACTCACAAGCCCGAGATCAAGAGTCACACACTCTACCGACTGAGCCAGCCAGGTGCTCCCAATATATTCTTGAAAGCAGTCTCACCTGTTTCATTTCACTTGTTTAATGTGATTACTAGAAAATTTAAAATTATATATGTAGCTTATATTGTTTCTACTGGACAGACATCATGATTCCAGAGAATTCTTACCTTATTTAGACTCACCTGTGAATGGATTAGGTAGCAGGCACTCAAGCCACCTAACACCAAACATTTTGATTTATCCCTCAGACTGCTGTTGTGGCCACCATGGTCCCTAGAATTTTGCCTTCCTACCCCAGTGACTTGACTAGGTTCTCTTCCCTTAAAATCAGGCAATGCCATGTTAAGTTTCTCTTTAAAAAGGTAGTTAAGTGTGTATAATAAAAAAAATTCTAAAGCCCTTCAATTTTTTTCTTTGTCCTCTGGAATAACTCACATATACCCACACTCTAAAATATGAAAATGATTAAACTGTATATTATACAGTTTTTAGTTGTTTTAAATCATAGATATGGATTAAAAATCTAACTGGGATACATTTGCTTTTTCCTGAAATTTTTAACAGTTTTTATTATAAAGGGTATGTATAACACTTGTTTTATTATTGATTAATGCCATATAACCTGGAAGGTTTAGGAAATGTTACTGAGGCACAAACTGGGGAAAAGGAGCCTCGAGGCAGCTCTGCTGAAGCAAGTCACTCAGCCAGTGATTAAGTTTATTTTCTTCCCACTGATTCGTCTCAATGTTTTAGTATATTCTACTCAAAAAGCAACACTGCTTGTGAATTAACTTTCCTTCTTTATGAAAATGGTCAAAATATGCTTTACCTGTTTAAAAAATGTGGTTAAATTAAGGTGTGAGGATATGCAAAAAACTGTACTTTCTTGAAAATACATACTGTGATTTCAGGGAAAAAAAGGAAAAGCTTAGTTAGACATATTTAAGTGTTAGTCAAACTGGCTCACTAAGTGTAACATGGATTTCCCCCTCCTGTCAGGTAACTACTACAATTTAGGATTTATGTTAGTAGATACCTGCTCAACAATAATGTGACCCACGTGGCAGTATCTAACATATCTATTCTACTTCTTATCTAGGAAAGTTTTTAATTTTTCTGACTCTGGAATAAAGCAGTGCAACTCTGGCCCTTTTTTTTTTTCTGCTACAGTTTTTCCTACCATACCCTGGATTATGCCAACAGTTGTCAGCAAATAATGGAAGAAACAGAAACACTGGCTTCAAATCAGATGATTAAGCTAAATTATCATTCAGCAAAACCAGTAACACCAACCTCTGAAGTCAGCTTCCAAAGTAACATATCATATTGTTTAGTAATGAGCCAGCTGCATTGTTAGTGACTGTTTTGTATGTTAATACCATCAGTACCTATTTAATTTACAGATGGTAAAGATGTTTATAAAACATGAGTGCCTTTGGCAAAATAGTATAGAAATACTAGTAATATTTTATTTCTACTTTGTAGATTTATTTTAGTAAGTGCATTTTACTTTAAATCCAAAAAAGGTATTTCCATTTTGAAAAATTGGTAATTTTACGCAGAAAAATTAGTTTGGCCTAACAAATTTAATTAATTCAATTCATTAGAAATTCCAAATAAAAGCCCAAAAGTTCATAAGCCTCATATATATCAGTATTTTATTCTGATATGCAGTCAACTCTTGATTACCCATAGAAATGGAGTACAGTTGTAAAATGATCCATCAATCACTCCTGTATAATTTAGAATGCATTATAAGAATTTTGTCTTAAACACATTTTCCCCCACTATATTTGGCTTAGGTTAAATTCATTCAAATATTTTAGTATTTAAAATAAGTACATGAAAGTTCAGCCACTAGGGGGTGTAGGGGGTGTGATGAGATGTAAGGTAGTGCTAGTCTTGAGGGGTAAAATCTCTCTGGGAAAAGAAGGCAATAATATGTACAGTAAGTAGCAATGCAAGGCGGTACAATTTTAAGTGACAAGACAAGACAATAATTACCACTAGTATATAAAGAAGGAAATCAATATAGTCAGAAAGGAGCACAGAGAAAACAGAACAAACCAAACTGTGAAAGACTGATAGAATTTGTTGGGTAGGGAACAGGGCAGGCAGGATGAAAAACACCAGCAAAAGCTTGGAGCTAAGATTTGTATGAAGTATCCAGAAAACAGTGAAGAGATGGATTTGGCTAGCTTTAAAGTTCAGAATATTGAAGCGAGAGGTTAAACGGCAAGGCAAGAGCAAATTTTAGCCTTGAACACTCGACGGAGGCATTTGAACTTTTTTCATAGGCCAATGGTTTTTACAATTCTTAGAAGCCATAGTGTTTCTATGGGAAGCTTCATTACATACAAATACATTTGATTCCATCTTGTTTATTAGAAATAATTTACCAGTCTTCTAATTGCCAAGCCAATGACTCTTCAGTCCTCATGTTACTTGACTTAGGCTTTGACATCACATTTCTCTCTTCACTATTATTCCTTTACTGCCTTCTTTGCTGAGACTACTTACTATCCCTGCCCATCACTTAATGCAGATACTCGGGGCTCTGTCCTTGGCCCCTTTCCACACCAAATAAGGTTTATCGCTTTTGAGAATCTGGAGAAAGCTATGGACCTTCCCCTAACAAAAGTCACATATGTACTCTTTTGGATAATGGAGAATATCTGGATTCCAGAGGTTAAGAATTCTTGCTCTAAATGCTCTCTGGGCAACCTCATCACTCCAGTGGTGTTAATTATATGCTGATGACTTCCAAAATTTTATTGGCACCCCCATATATCCAATAGCCTACTGGGTGTCCAACAGGTTCTTATATCCATCTATCTCCATGGAACTCACCACTGTTCTTCCTAAATGGTTTTTTTTTCTCCTTTCCCCATCAAGGGTAATCTTACCCATCATCTACCCCGTCACACGAGTCGCAAACCAGGAGCTCAATCTAGATTCTTCTTCTCAATCCATCATCAAGTTTCTTCAGATACTTGTTCCTGTCCACCTTTATTACCATAGCTCTAGTTACTTCAGGCCTTCAATTCTTGCTGGGATTACTGCATTAGTCTCCTAACTGGTTTCCCTGCCTCTGGCTGAAATTCCTTTACTAAAGTGAAGTTTTCTTATAAAAATAAGAAATCCATAGTACCAGTCATTCTGTTACTTTCTTGCTTAAAAATTTTAACGGCTCCCCCACTGCCTAAAGAATGAAGTTCAAACTTCCTATTATAACAAAGATCATTCTTGATTGGGTCCCTGATGCCTCTCTAACACAGTCTTCCAACATGGCCCCATTCACACACCACCCTCTAGCCATACTGAACTGCGGCTGCTAGTACTTAAACATGCCAGGCCTTTTCACCCCTTTCTCCTTTGTTTACAAAGTTCTAATTACAGTGGCCTCTTACATTTCCATAACGAACTTATTTTGGTCTCATTTTTTACGTGTGGAAAACCTACTCATCTTTAGAAGTCAGCTCAAATGTCACCTACCCCGTGAAGTCTTTCCTGACTCTCTTGCCCAAGGAGAACTGATCACTGCCAATCCCCTCGTGTTCCCATTTCTAAACTTAACCAGAGACCAAGAGGGATGAAATCTTGTTCTTCATAGCCCCAAAACCAAGCACAATTGCCTACTATATCCTAGGCTTTGACTGTTTCTGAATGCAAAACAAAAAATATGCCTACCAACATATGTGTAATATAAAAAAATCACAAGAGTAACTACATGAATCTTTAAAAGAAATACAAGCTGTTAAATTTAATGTAGATAGTAATTCATGTTTTTTCAATATTTGTTCTGTCATCTGCTGTCTATAGCCAGTAAGTGGTAGCAAGCACAAAAACTTAAAATATATATACATATATATGGGAAAACAAAAAACAAAAACTATCTTCCCATTAGCTAATCTTCCCTGAAAGTTTTGAAATCATCATATTCAGTATTAGTGGTAGAACAGCCTGAATCTAATTAGGAAAACACTAGTGTTCCATGGAAAGTCACTGGATTTTCAGGACAGTAACTGACCAAGTAGCAATTCTGAGACCGGGGCTAGTGGTCCAAGACTGACACAACTGAGCGACATGACCCTGGAAAAGTCCTTTCTTGGAGTTCTCTTTTCTTGATGTCTTAAATATGGATTTTAGTCAAATGACTTTTATGTTATTCCAGTTCTTAAACCACTCTGAGTGCACTCAGTCTTTCAGTAATATTAATCTATGTTAGAGGTGGACAATTC